GTTGAATGAACCTCGGATTCAGTTATTGTCACAACCGACGGGATAATAACATTACGCCGACGGGCCGATAAAAATAATGTTGCGTAACCCGAGCGATTTCGCACTCGCTCGAGAATATATGCACATGTGCCCTCCTCCCTCCCCCCGCGAGCGTTATTTACGTTTTCATTCACGCACATCTTCTTGCTATATGTGTGTTTGTGACCGGCCTGTGTGAAAGAGAGAGAGAGAGAGAGAGAGAGAGAGAGAGAGAGAGAAGTACCGATCGGACCTTTCTATACATACATTCACGTAGCATATCGCTGAAGCTCAGCGCGTTTCTATCGAACGGATTAACTCCGTCGTGTGCGATAACGTAAACACTCTGACTTCGGTGACAATGGATTGTACGAATCAAACCGGCGTTCCCAATTCGCGCCAACTTGAATCGACTCGGACGTATCTCGCGTCCGAAACAGAATTTCTCCGCAAAACGCGTATTTCGAACCGAAATTTGATGACTAGCGAATTAACGGGCCGAAAACACTAAAGAGAATCCTAAAATCGTCTTTTTCACTGATTATTTTTTAAATAAATATTTTTGTAATAAGTATCTTTCATAAATAAACGATAATGTAGTCCAAACCGATCGACTTTATACAAAAAAATGAAAAAAGTTAGCAAATTACATTACCGACGTAAAAAACGAAAAAAGTTAGCAAATTACATTAATATTTTTCGCATTGTGAATTATTCATTATTTTTAGATTGCCATTAACATATAACGATTAATATTCTTGTAAAAGATGCTTGTTAGCATAAAAAAATTATTAATTTGCTTGTATAATTTAGTAAGTGATATTACTATTTTGATTCTGCTCATGAATGCGTTTTAAGAATGAAAAAAGATTTTGGCGCGCAATATGCAGAGTCAGAATGTAAATAAATTCACACGACAAGAAATATATATTTAAGTGCTAAGATCTTACTAAAACTTAACAAGATTAATTATTATAGATACATTCTCATCGGTCTAAATTCGTATATTGTTTAAAAATTTCTTCTAGCATTTTTAATATTGGCTTTATATACAATTTTTGTACTTTGTAAAAGAATTTTGGACTAGAGATTACATTTTTGAACTGAGTTAATTTGTTATAATTAGATTTTGATACTTAATACGGAATTGAAAAATTGGAAATTAGGGAATTATCAGGGAAATTGAAAACAGTAAGAAAAATCAGCGAATTTAGCAAAATTTCTGAAAAATCAAAATTCTTAACTTTAAAGAAGTTTGATATATAATACGTACATCACATTTTGTTTTCGGTGACAATGGATTGTACGCATCACCCAGTTTTTGAATACTATCAACTTAACTATTAAAAATGCAAGCTATGTTAGCAACATTTAATAGTATTTTACATACATTACTGTATTAAATTAATCTCACAACAAAATATTTAGTGATTACCTAAATTAGAGCAAAAATACAGAAAATTTCAAAATTTTATTGAAAGTCAGGAAAAATCATAAAACTTTGTTTGGAAATCAGGGAAAAGTTATGGAATTTGACGAATTTCCCCTGTAATATGAAAGATTACAGGAAAAATTCCTCAAATTCCATAACTCTTCCCTGATTTCCAAACAAAGTTTTATGATTTTTCCTGACTTTCAATAAAATTTTGAAATTTTCTGTATTTTTGCTCTAATTTAGGTACCACTAAATAGTTAGAAAATTTATACATATGTGTGAGTGCGATATTGATGTTCTCTCTTGAAAAAGGATGGCAGATTTTTACTCTTTTTTCTTTTTTTGGAAAGGTTTAACATATTTAGAATGAGATTTACTCCAAAAAAATAATGAAAATCTGCTACTCTCATTCAAGAATGCAAATTTTTCACTTTTTTAAATAGTGGCAGCATTTTAACTATTTTGAATTGAGATTTCGCTCCAAGAAATTTAGAGAGTAGTAGTGCATAGTGATGTATCAATGACATAAATTGCAGGTCCTGCTGAATCGGTAAAACAGACGACTTTAGGATCTTCCTCCTCTGCCGCTCTCTTAACGATCGCTTTTAATTTAATTCGACCGATAAGAACGAGCCATTCGACTCGAACGCGCCAAAACGGAGCAAGAGCTTTTGCTTTTCGTTATCAAAAAGTATGGATAACGAATCTTATATGCATGATTTAAATCTACATTTCCGCGATTTCAATCTACATTTGGCGTTGAATGTCCGAATATTCGTCTGTCATGTACATTTTTATTTCGGAGCGCGAATCGGATAGCCGTATTTAACGTTAAATAACTAGTCTCTCTCTCTCTCTCTTTGTATCGAGGATATTTTAAACGTTTTTACTTTTATCAACCGTTTTTATCGCGCTGTATTTTATTCGCGCGGATCTTTGTCGATATTGCGATCTAGGTGGTATCATACATGTATTTTCTCCCCTTCCTTCTCACTCCACATTGAAATTAATGGAACATGGGATGAGTTTATTTTATTTTTGCATAAAGGGAACACACAACGAGATCGTATAGACACACGGAATCTCAGTGCCCAGGCTTTTACTGGGGCACACAAATTCGCCGATCGAAAAGTGCCGAAGTCGTACGACGTTCGCCGAACGCTTGTCGCGCCACGATTTTTGCGTTTTTGTGTGCGTGTGCGTGTCTGTGTGAGAGTCTGGAATCGTACGATATCATATATCCAACGCACAAGACGATCTGTGTGCTATACATTCGATGGAGATACATTCGGGACGGCGATGAAATTGACAACTTCATGATTTTAGACATTAGCGATCTATCGGCTACGTTCAAAGTAATTGAAAATGGAGGAGGAGGAGGGGATAAAAGAGAAAATCTTTCTCGGAGAAAAGATACGTCGCGAAAACATAAAATGTTAACGGGAATAATATTATTAGCGAGAATAGATAGTAGAGTAAACTGACTATATATACGGGAATATATCGACTTCGGATAGAGTTCCCGAGACCGGAGCCAGGGCTTTTGGGAACGAAACGATTCGCTGGCGCACGGTAAGCCGAGGCTCGGCGGAAACGGCCGAGCGACGGCGGCGAACGCTTGCCGCGCCATCGAAAGAACGCCCTCCGTTTCGACTCCGACGAGCCAGCGCCAGCCAGCTTAGCTAAACGCGGAAATCTGTAAACCGAGATCTCGGCGACGACGAGGAACGAGCGACCCCGATAAAAAGGATCGCTTCTTGCTCAACGTTTCGTATCGCGCGACCTGCACCTCTCTCTCTGTCGCGCACGTTATTGTACGCGTTAAAGTCGCGGGCTCTCCAAGCGCGGATTATAACCTGCTTGACGCGTGGACACGCGCACGCACGCACGCACATATTCACGCAGGCAAACAGACAGGCAGTCAGGCAAGCAGGCAGGCAGGCAGGCGCGAATAGAGGGACGACGATTACGAGAGACGCGACTATTACTGTACTACGTAACTCTACGTGCCTCTTCTAAAGTTCCATCAGCCTCGGTACCGTGACACGGAGCTCTTTGGCAGACTTTATTGACACAACATACGACGCTCGCTGAGAACGAGGTGGCACGCACACGGCAGTAAAACGATGGCGTTGGCGGAATAAAAGCGCGAGAGAGAGAGAGAGAGAGAGAGAGAGAGATAAAAGGCTCGCGCGCGTCCACCAACGCGCGGAAAAGGGGGGGACGGGCACAACCAGGAACGAAACAATCGGGAATGTAAAGTCCGCGTTTAACCGGTATACGCCAACGATGGTCCGGTAATTTTCTCGCTCGCGAAATCCTCTCCGAGAGGAGAACACTCTCCTTCGTTTCGCGTGTACGTTACTCCGCGCGGTTCGACAAACATGTGAAAGCGCGACTCCACACGGTGCAAAATACGTTTCCGCTTCTTTTATTGTTTCTCTCTCTCTCTCTCTCTCTCTTCCTCCGCCTCCCCTTGCTACTCGTCGTGCTTTAAGTGGAGAGCCGGGTAACGCCTCTCCTTCGATCTCTCGCGTCATGCCGAGAGTCCTTGTGCCGGACGGCCTATGTACCGTACATTCGCTCGTACGCCCGAGGAAGTGTTTAATCGCCATCCGCACGGAGCAACTATACGCGGCCTGGTAGGTGTAATGATGTGCTTGAATTTTCTTTCGTTCCTCTCACTCCGTTCCCCTCACCTCTCGCGTTATCTCCCTTCCGCCAATCACGTCTCTCTCTCTCTCTCGCTCGCTCGCTCGCTCCATCCCTACCTATACCATTTCTACTCTATCCATCTCTCTCGCCGATTCTATAGCTCTCCTCGTCTCCGTTCCACTCTCTTTCTCCTTCCCTCCTCTCGCTCTACCCGCCCCTTCTCTACCCTGAATGCACGCACACGCGCGCGTATTCACGCACACGCAGCGGGCCCGCCGCTCGTTGTGTGTCGATGCCTCGTTGTGACGGACGAGACCCCGTACCCAAATGCGTGTACACGCGGGCACATGCACACACCGATTTCGACCGTGGAGTATACACACGGTTGTTGTGCGCTCCGTGGACTGTGGCCGAGAACGACGCCGCGTGCCATCATCGCGTTGCGACGACAACGACGGCGAACGATCGTAGGCAGGATCTCTCGTTCCGCCTTGTACCGCTCGCTACGCGGAATACGTGTGTGACAAGAACGTACGTTCGTGCGCGAGATATATACTAACCGCCGCGCGCGCGGACTCGAATAACATGGGCGACATCGCCGTTGCTGGGTTCTCGCTTCGCTTCGCGCCGCTTCGGACGGCCGTCGTCGTCATCGCTGCCACCGCCACCACCGCCGCCACCACCGCCGCCGCCGCCGCCGCCGCCGCCGTCATCGCCGTCACCGTCAGTATCGACGTCGATTGATTTTCCAGACGAGGAACACGCGATCCTCCGCCGCTCCACCATCGTCCGAGAGCTGCACGAGAGCACGCCCGACGACGTCGGTTCGCCGCGTCGTCTGTAGCCACGAAGGCGGCGCGAATCGCGCTAAACAGGATCGCCGACGTAACAGTGAGCACAACTCACGCGACTTTTCATCGAGTCGGTCTTTCGTACAACTGCAACTCACCTTGTTAAAGTGATCTTCCTTCGTTTTCTCTGACTTCGGAATCCATTCGCTGATCGAACTCGTGTGTCTCGTATGAATCGCGATTGTCAACTGTTTACGTCAAGAACGTTTCCGTATCTTGTATTTTTAACTAGTGCCCCGCTATCGCAGTGACTGAATATTTGTGATGGTTCTACAGTGAGAACGTTCACTAGTGTGCTGACCTACTTCAAAAAAATTACAACTGATATTTGTTGACTAATCACATGATGTATGAATTTGGGATAGTCGTGTGAAAAGTATTACAAAATGTATCTTCTTATCAGCTGTTTAAAATCACGCCCATACAGTTTTGTTTATCATAAATTAACTGTAGTAAAACACTGTGAAACTCGAATCAAATAAGATGAAGCTTGCACCAAAATTTATAACATTTCTTCTCAATCACACATTTGTATTTTATATTATTTTTCTTTTATTTTTATAAGTAATCTCTCTTTTTTTTTATTATTGCAAGTCGTTATCCTATGGTTTAATTTGGATTGCAGGAATTATCAGGACAGAATAGTAACGACAGTTCGAATGGACCAGCTTGCCCAGGGACACCGAATTCTCAGGGGATGAGACCTACCCCGTCACCAACAGGATCCACAGGTTCTCGCTCGATGTCCCCTGCTGTTGGTCGGTCTTTTTTACGTCTGTCTCTCTTTTCACTCGCATTTGTATTTAATAATAGAAGTTCTAACTGCTCTGTACAAAATATCCCAGAGTTACAGAAATGTTTAATATGTGATGATTTAGAGTTGATTCTCTTTTCTAAAAAGAAAATTTTACTTCTTGTTAACTTTTCAATATATCTGGGATGCTCTGTATAGTATGCTCAATGTATCCAAATAATTAATATGTTTGTGTTCTCTTTTTCTTAATAATGATATTGAAGAAGTGTAACTTGGATGTTATATAAGAGTTTATCTTACTATCGTCTTTTTCTTTCTTTTTTTTTCTTTTTTTCTTTTTTTCTTTTTTTCTTTTTTTGCATTCTATTATGTTGGAATACCTTTCTGAAAATTTATTCTTGAATGTACAGGCCAACAAAACGTTCAGATGCCTCCACGTCCGTCGAGTAGCCAGTCGGATAGTAGTGGGCCAGCACCGCGAATGAGTCACTCTCCTATGACCACTCAAGGTACAAATTCTGCTTTTTCTGCTTTTGGATACATTTGAGATACTATTAGCGCTACTTGCAACTTATTCTATCTTCATCGTTTATTAGATGTAAAATAAGGATAAAATGACACAAATAACGCTAATAGTGTCTCCTCGAACATACCTCTAATCATTCGTTTTTTGCGAGATATATTTATCTGTTTTCAGTGCAAATTGTCGCATTAAAACTGATAATAATAAGGTGAAATGATCATTGATTTTAGGAGCATACCAGCAACCATTGGGTCCTTCACCACATATGCATAGCTACAAAATGAACAGTACTGGTCCTGGTGTAGTACAACCGGGACCTGGTTCGACGGCTCTCGGTGGGATTAGTCCAATGGGTGGTGGAATGGGTTATGCAGCTGGTGGGGCAGCTGCAGGTCAACCTGGAGGTTATCATGCACAATCTACGTATCCACCTCCTCGTCCTCACATGCAGTTTCCACAAGGATACCCAACACCTGCGAACTCGCAACCGCCACCCAACAATCAGTATCAGCCTCCCAACAGACCCAATAACTTAGTACAATATCCACCGTACACGGTAATAAACGTTTAATTTAATCGACAATGCATAGCAATGATTTATTTCGTCGTTGTCTAAGCTAATGTGTCTTGTCTTTCAGCATAAAATGGGCTTTAATAGTGTACCGCCGGGAATGCCACCGAGTCCGGGACCGCCGCAAGTTTATGGTGCTGGTGGTGCAACCGCAATGGTACCGCCAGGCGCTCCAGGAGTACCTGTCATTGGTAATATGGGACCGCCGGCGAGCTCGATGGGTCCACCACCACCGTCTCCTAATCACATAAGTAATCAACCACCACCGCCTACCAGTTCGGCAGTGCCACATTTACATACGCCGGCAGCTACGCCGCCTCTCAACCACGAGGGTAGCCCGATGCCACCGCCGAGTACAACACCGAATTCACATCCCGCGTCAGCACCAACCCCTACCAGCCACAATTCCGCAGATCTCACGGCTGAGACTTCCAACGACAGCGGTATAACCACGACTGCTTCAGGTAAGTGAAAATATCTTAAATCATGTAGACTTTCTCCTTTTATTATTGTCCACGCACAAATGAATAGCAAAATTGCATGTTTTATGCATAGGTACGTCAGCTATAAATGTCATATCTACTTCAAGTGGTACTGTGACATCTGTAATAACAACAGGTCCAGACGGCACGTCTCTGGATGAAGGTTCGCAGCAGTCAACGTTATCTAATGCATCAGCTGGTTAGTATTATTTATAATTATTATTTCTTATATAAATCTGTTTGTCTTTGTTTGTGGAATTTAATCTTGTAAAACTTGGGTCGTCGCAATTATTTTAACAAAATGTATTTACAAACAGCCTCTGGTGAAGATCCAGCATTTACACCAAAAGTGCGAAAGGAAATGATAGGAGGATATCACAGTCATCCTGCGACACCACAGAGCACTGTTCCGTCTCCTGGCGCTGCTAGCATTAATTCGATTCACGAAGAATATTCTGATATGAATAGTCCTGGTTGGCCGCGTACTCCTGCTAGTCCTGTACGTATTTTCCACATGCTTTCACACGTGATACACATTCTAAATTAGCAGTTAACTCATTATTACAGATAAAGTTTAAATGCAATGTATTATTTGCATTTTCAATATTTTAATATTTTACAGGTGTTTAACAGTCATGTGCCTCAAGACCCGTACAGATCTAAGGTTATTGTTTTTTCACTATAAATATTTGTTATATCGTCACGATGTCATTCCCCTTTTGCACTCCATGCTTTAGACATTTTTACTTTACACTAACTTTTCTTGCTTGGCACATGTGCATCGTATTAATCTCGCAGATATAATGCCATATTCATAAAAGCTACATTAAGTATATCGTTATCTTAATACTTAATATAGAATTTTAATAATATTTAATTTTTAACTTACATATTAATATTTTAAAGCCTGATAATATTTTATCCTGATAATATTAATGTAACTTTTTTTTTATTGGACAGTCAATAATAGCATAATAATTAACTACTTCTTTTACAAGATTGCAAAAGAATTATATAATATAACTTGCATTTTTTAAAAAGTAATATAGTGATACAAATATTACACAGATTATTTATATTACATAAATTTTGCAGCAATTTCAAATGACGTTACGTGAACGATTTATTCAGACATATTAATATGCTTACTTCTTGTACTCAATACTTTACAAATTTTGCTTTGTATTTTATTTCTCTATATCCGCATAAACAGAAAATTTACTTGATAATAATTATCGCATGCATTAAATTACTGGGCTACATATTATGTATTGCTGTTTCATTTAATTTCTAACGAATATTAAAATATTTTTAAACATACATTGAGAGAAAGAAATAGTTCTCAAAGTCTTTAAGAATATTAATATTTCCTATTTATTTATTGTCGACTTATTTGATAAAAATGTACGTTTTATTAATGATAAGAATAATGAATATCTTAACAATTGGTGTTAATTAAAAATGTTTACCAAATGGAGAGGAAAAAAAGAGAGAGATATATAAAAACTATATTTATGCATGTTAGATAATTGCTACGATTGGGATTACATTCGCAGCTTTGCAAGAATAATTATTCTATATTTTAGTTAGATCGATAATATATGACGAGACATTTCTGACGAATTGTATTAATAAAATTTTACACAAGATTCTCATATAAGAGTATGCTAAAGAAGCGTAATAATTGCGACTTTCAGAAGACAGATAGTCTGGCAAAATTATACGAAATGGACGAATCGCTAGAACGAAGGAGCTGGCTGGATAAGCTAGTCAACTTCATGGAAGAACGAAGATCACCGATCACCAGCTGTCCTACCATCTCCAAGAACCCCCTCGATCTATTTCGGCTTTACCTCTACGTGAAGGAGAGGGGGGGCTTCATGGAGGTATGCAAGGTGCAGTGTAGTTCCATCTAGCCCTTGGTGTCTTACATAGTTTTTGTATCGTTTTTATGTATTTTTACATTCTTTATACTTGTTCTGCACACTGTACATTTTTGAGGTGTCTTTTGTTGATTACTCCTTGCTATTGGTGCTCGATGATTCAAAGTATTTCTAAAGTTTGCATCGAGCAAAACTTTGATAAAACTTTGATAATTTATCGGAGTTCAAATCAAATTGAAGTAATTTGTATTGGAACACCTCAGAATACGCTTTGTTTTTTACGTCTAGTTGAATTGTGCATGATACACGTTGTATAGTTGTATTATTTTTGCTATTAGTATCCCTTTCTCATAATCTGTGTCTAAATATTAGGAAAAGAAAGAAAAAGAAATGCTTAACATATCTTTTCTTGAAGTAGTTGTTCAACAGTCGAATATGGAAACACCCTGATCTACAAACCTTGGTGCTATATGGAATTATTCTAATAATCACACAACGAAGATAAACTTTTAATATCGAAATATTACAATAACGGTAATCGTTCCGATTGTACTCTGTGTATTTCTCTCATCCTTTTTTTAATTTTTTTTTATACTTGCATGCGTTTTTAGAGATTTCGCCGATCCATATCATTTTTTTTTGAGACCTCAAGGCTATAAAACGTCGGCGATGCCTTTTATATTATTGCGTTTCTTTTGGACATGCAGATTTTTTGTCTGTGTTTGAAATTCGACGTGAAACTGCTCTTTTGCGAGCGTAATAAAAAATACCTATGTGTAATTTCTTTCTGTAGGTGACGAAAAATAAGACGTGGAAGGATATAGCTGGTCTATTGGGCATCGGTGCCAGCAGTAGCGCTGCTTACACTTTGCGCAAGCATTATACGAAACATCTGCTAGCATATGAGTGTCACTTTGATCGTGGCGGTGTGGATCCGCAACCCATTATCAATCAGGTCGAAGCGGGTTCGAAGAAGAAGGGATCCAAGGGAACTGCTTCCGTACCATCGCCGGGTATGATTATTTAGTAAATTAGTAAATTATATTTTACACATACATATACAGTGTGTACAGCGATTTTTTAATATCCTTGAATCTTGAAATAATTCTGAAATTTAATGTATCTTGAAAAACCCATGCAATTTCAGGACTGAGAATTTTTATCATTCTTTCATTCCGAAAAAATCTCTTACTCCCTAAAATATTATTTACTTGTGCAAAGCTTTCTTGTATCAAGAAACTTTTCAACTAAGAAACGATTTGTTCTCACAGGTTCTTCCAATTCTCAAGACTCCTTTCCCGCTGCTGGATCAAGTAACGCTTCTATGGACGGTTATGGAAGCTACCAGGGTAGTTATGCAGGCGGCACACCTGGTGGCCCATCGTCAGAGTATACACCGCCACCACCCAGGCCACCCAGCCAAAGCAGCACACCCTCCGCCCATCAAGGTACATTTTTAACATTTCTTCTTGGTTATGCATGCCATTAGAGTCATTTTTATCTCTGTTGTAATACATACTATAGAATTTGTCGAATACATTTATTGTGATTTTATCAATAAACGTTATCAAAAACTTTATAACAATTTTGTTTTTGAAGGAATACAACAAGGCACTTACCAAAACACAGGCTCTTATCAGAACTATCCTCAAGAACAATATATACGGCCGCAGGGAAACTCGATGTCTCAACAAGGAGAGTTCAATCAACCGTACTCTCCCAGATCGCATTATCCTCCATACGTACCGGATGTCGACAGGTGAAAGATAGGCGTTCACGTATTTCTTGTTTCAATAATGTTCCTCGGAGAAAAACATTCATATTTATTTTCGTCGCGTACAGGGGATATCCGAGTGGTAACATGCCGCCAAACAACGCTACTGGACAGGATATGTACAACAGATACACCAGCGGTGTCAATCAACAAGGTCCCGCTAGTTATCCTACGGGAACGCCTCCTAACGCGCGGAGCAACAGCTATCCTTCGGGACCGCAGACTCATCCGGTCACTGTGCAACAGCAAACGGCGACTAGCCAGCCTTCCTCGCCTTCGCAACCGCCAACTGTGCCGTCATACTCGTGTCCGCAAGACTACTATCGACAGGAACAAGTAATACTCGATGTCTTTATACTAATCATATTTGATAATATGGTAAAATTAACAATCTTTCATATCTGTCATTGCGTTGCAGAGTGGATATGGAGCGCCCGCTGGAACTCAAATATATACCACAAGCGGATCGGCTAACAAGAACATGCCACCACCCCCTCCAGGTCCCACTCAACCTAGACGCCACCCAGACTTTGCCAAAGACCAACAGTATCCCCAATATAATCAACAACGACCAGCGTATCCAGGTGAGATACTTTAATGTCGATAATCATGTATTACTATTTCAGAAGAAGTTTTGCTAAGTGAATATTTTGAATTTTAATTTTGATTAACCTAAATGCTATTTTTTGTTGCAGGATGGCCAAATACAACTAATCAGTACAATAGTAATAGTGGAAACAATAGGGTTCAATACCCGAGCCAGCCGGCACAATCGCCATCACAACAACCACAACCACAACCGCAACCGCCGCAACAAGGAACCCAAGTCGTCACCGCTGCCCCAACTGCTCCGGCAGTCAACATGGCTAGTAATCAACAATGGGCCAGTCAGTCATCGAATAGGCCTTCATGCCAACCGCCTATAAACGCTATAGCGCACCCGCCTCCACCGTGGGATCATCGCTACACGAATCAACCGTCCCCTTTGTATCCAACACCCGGAAATCATCAGGTACGTGCTTAATTCTGTAAACAATATTCTTGTAAGTTGATAAAATAATTTAATATAATAACGAAACTTAACAAGATTTATAGTATCTGCTGTAAATCGGCATATTTCATACTTGGTATAATCTTTAATTGTTTCGTTATCATAGTTATCATAGTTATCGTTATCATAGTTGCCTAGAACTATTTGTTTCATGATATGTGATCGTTTCAATCAAGCTGTTTCATAGACAAACGAAATTGTATTCTTTTACGCAGACTCAACTCGGAGTAAATCCCATGATCAGCCAACAACCGACGTCAAAGAGAGAAATGACATTCCCTCCTGACAGTGTAGAAGCGATCACGCCTCTTTTGTACAAGCGACGAAAATTGACGCGCGCTGACGTGGCGCCAGTAGAAGCTTGGCGCATTATGATGGCTTTGAGATCGGGTCTGCTCGCTGAAAGCTGCTGGGCCCTTGACGTATTAAACATTTTGTTATTCGATGACTCTTCAGTGAGTATATTTTTTGCTATCATAATTATTTTAAGAGAAAAAAACAATGACTATACAGAAATTCACATGAAATTAAAAAGATAAAATATGCAATAAATGTGAAAGATATACAATAATTTATATCAACGTATCTTTCGTGCCGCAATTATTTATATATATTGAAAACTTAATTAACATAAAAAACGCTCATATAAAAAGATATTAAATATTTTTATATATAATAATAAAATATAAACACGTATATACAACACGTATATACAAAAAATGTACACACACACACGTTTACAGGTAAGTTATTTCGGATTGACACACCTCCCCGGACTACTGGACGTTCTGCTGGAACACTTCTCGCGTTCTCTCTCCGACATGTTCGAATCATGTGTAAACGACGACGATCGCTATTGCCAGGCCGCAGATGGTCCGGAGGTAGACCTCGGTGCGGTAACGCGCCCGATCGATTCGGAAGATCGGACGAAATTGCTGTCGACATCGAATTATACGTATCTCTCGAGGAGAGGTCGCCCCGTTAAGATCGTCCCTCGGGATGACGATTTGTTTGTTTTGGACACCCGGAGGCCTTGGGATCATCAGGAGTGCGAGTCGGAAACCGAGCCGTGGCAAGTCGACACGAACGCGACCAAATACATCGTCACGTGTTTTCAGTCTGAGGTGGGCTCGGTGCCTTTCGCCCGTTTATTAAGGGACGAGAAACCGCCGTTATTGCAGAAGGAAGTTGACAGCACAGATTTGAAAGACGAAGCCAAAGCGGATAGCGTCGGTGGTGTCCACGAGACGTTAGACTTCACTCATAAATCCGGTGAGCTTGGCGACAAGCAATCTAATAAAGACAGTGGCGAACGCAAGCAGCAGCAACAGCTGGACAAGAAAAAGAAGACGAAAACTTTGAGTGACGTGCTGTCGAGGATCAAAAAGGAGCCGGTAGAGATGAACGATCTCACAAGGGAGTTGTTCGAGAAGAAAAATGACGGTTTTAAAAAGGATTGTGACAGCGAAGTGACGAAAGCAAACAACAATATGGGTGAGCACTTTGGCAGTGATATGTCAAAGAACGACGAGGACTCGTTGCCGACGCAAAATGGACTGAATGAATCGGTAGCGACGGTTTCAGGCAACATTGATAATACCATAGATAAAGCTGAGATCAAGACAGAAACGACGGATGAACATGAATTGCTAACGACGAGAGACGACAGGGAGGGACCAAGATTACAAATAAGAGATCCGGCAGGAACGTTAAAACGACGGAGGATAAGTGACTACGAGGACGAGAGCTACTCCAGGGACGAAGCGAGTCTTTACCTGGTGACAGAAACGCAGGACAACCTGGCTCGTCGTTGCGTGTGCCTGTCTACAATCTTGAGGAATCTCACTTTTATCCCCGGCAATGAAGCGGAATTCGCAAAGAACGTTACGTTCCTCAGTCTACTTGGCAAGTTATTGCTATTGCATCACGAACATCCGATACGGGCGCAAAAAACGCGCAATTACGATCGTGAAGAGGACGCAGATTTTGCGGACTCGTGTAGCAGTCTACAAGGCGAGGGTGAATGGTGGTGGGACTTTCTCCATCATGTGAGGGAGAACGTCCTCGTGATGGCCGCCAACATATCCGGCCATATGGATCTGAGCCAGCATCCGGAGGAAATCTCGCGGCCTGTGCTTGACGGTCTTCTTCACTGGGCCGTATGCCCGGCTGCGCATGGTCAGGATCCTTTCCCAACGGTTGGTCCAAATTCCTCGTTGTCGCCGCAGAGACTCGCGCTTGAGGCTTTGTGCAAATTATGCGTTACCGAGTGCAATGTTGATCTGGTAGTGGCGACGCCGCCGTACTCACGATTACAGAGACTATGCTCGGTGCTGACTAGGCTCCTCTGCCGCAGCGAAGAACAGGTGCTGCGTGAGTTCGGCGTGAATCTACTGCACTTCCTGTCAGCCGCAGACAGCGGCGTCGCGCGCACCATCGCCCTGCAGACGCCGTGCGTTGCGCTGCTCGTTGCATTCATCGAGCAGGCCGAATCAAGTGCAATCGGTGTCGCTAATCAGCATGGTCTCGCGGCTCTGCGCGACAATCCCGAATCGATGGGAACTAGCCTGGATATGTTGCGACGTGCGGCCGGCACGCTGCTCAACCTCGCCAGGCATCCGGATAACCGAACTCTCCTTCTGCAACACGAGTCCCGCCTGCTCGCCTTGGTGATGAGCCAGATCCTGGATCAACAGGTCGCTGCGATAGTCGCGCGTGTGTTGTTCCAGTGTTCGAGGGGCACGTAACTCTCTGTCGTCGGTCGGAACACTAGTACGCGATTCGCGCGGATTATTATTAACGATGCCGACGGTGACAACGACGAATAAGACGCACGCGACGGCGACGATGTTGTGATGGTACGACGTTGTGTACGGACGGCTATAGTGCGTTAAAAAAGGCGAACGTTGTGGGGAAAGCGGGAGATAGACGGATATATATGATGGAAAGAGACGAGGGAGAGTGACGAGGCGAGAAAGACTCGCGGGCGACGTGATAGAATACACGAGTGAAGGAACAAAAGTGCTGATTAAAAGCCATGGCAGCGCAGTTGTAGTTTTATATCGATTAAACAGGAAGTAAGAAAGTTTAATTATTGGTGTTAGCGTGTAGGTATACCCGATGCGATATCCGCCTGCCGGTATACCTTCCCCTTCGATGAATTGGAATAATATCGATAGTGTAAGATATTTCATAGTTAATGAAAGAAAAAAGATACATACATACACAAAACAAACACACATATATAGAAAAACATGGATCATCATGCACACATCCCATATCCACTGAGTATATGCACACAACACACAAACTAACAAACACAGGCACATACCATAGGCATACATGCGCGCGTGTACAACCACAAGCGTGGACATAACGTACACACATATACATATATACAAAACACACACACACACACACACACACACACACACACACACACACATACATATATATATATACACTCTCACATATGCATACGCAGTAAAAAAAAAAGAAAATGGACTTTCAAGAGACAACGGTCAGCTGCATAATAATATATATACCAAGAATCATGTCGGCGAACCTTAATGGTGCGATGTGGAATGATATATCGGATGATGATATATATAAATATTAAACGATAATATAATGCAAATTTTTATATTTGCATGTTTTGTGCTGTAATTAGCGAGTAATTAAGATATTTTGTAGATAACACACTTCCATTTGAATCTTATTCAATTTTCGTGCTGCGGCTACGGTGGCGCAAATATACGTTTGCGGCTGTAAGGCCGCAAGAAGTCTCGATTTTAGAAGCACAGGCAGAAACTAGAACTGAAGAAAGACATTGCTAGAAGAGAAAAAAATAATATACGTGTGATAAAGCCGCTGATTGAGAGGGAAGAATAACAGAAAGAAAGAGAGCATGAAAGCGAGATGGAGAGAAACAGCGAGGAAGCGTGCATGCGTGCGTACATGTTTATGTATTTGTGTATTGCGTGCATGCATGTATGTATCTATGTATGTATGTATATGTTTGAGTTTTAGAAAGAGGAAGAGAGAGAAAGACAACGAGAGAGAGAGAGAGAGAGAGAGAGAGAGAGAGAAGAACGGAAATGAGAGAAAGAACGAGAAAATGTTTGAGATAAAATGATGAGGACAGAGATGCTTTAGTACTCCTCTATTCTGAAATCATTCGGCCCGGGCTGTATTCCTCTATTCTGGAAAATTGCTTCCAATACTCTTATATGGCGGAACGCCGTCGATGTTCCGTGTTTGTATCATCCCGCATGGCTCGCTTTTCTTCTACGTAACGCGGCAGAGTTATTATGCGCGTAAAAAAATGCGGAAGAGGGATTATATAATATTATATACTATATATAATTATATATATATATTATACATTTTATAATAAATAGATTTATTATATATATTGTATAATATTTTATATATATAATTCCTATATAATATATATATTCAAGTTTACAGGGGAGGAAGAAGCTGTTCTAGAATAGAGAAAGGTTCCAGAATAAAGCGGCCTAGAGCACATGCCCGCTTATACGTGCGCGCGAAAGATGCGTGTGTGAGGCGTGTACGTGTTTAAAATGATCGCGCGAATACGGTATACGCGCATACGACGCGGCGCTTCGACAAACGGGGGGCCATATATGCGCGTATTAATGTAAAAGATGATTTGAGAGAGAGAGAGAGAGAGAGAGAGAGAGAGAGAGAGAGAGAGAGAGGGCGGAGAAAAAGATGCGTATGTGTGCGCGTGTATGTATGCACGGAGGATGGGGGTGCCGGTAGAAAAAGGGATGGGGACAGTGTCTGTGAAAAGAGAAAGAAAACATAAATATAGCTTGCGAAACTAAGTAACCGATTAATTTAGATAGTTACTTAAATTACCGTTAATTTTTTGCAGTAATTACTACTTGAATTCCTAGGAGATTCAGTAAATTTTTTCCTTTTTTTTTTTTCAATGGCTTCCTTTCGAACAAAGATTTGAAAGTAGAGAATTTAACTAACTGCAGTCTTTTTGGAATAAACGTATTTATAAACATAATTAAACGCCGTTGTGATAACAAAAAAGAAAATATAAAGAAAAAGAGACGGAGTAACGGAAGATGAGAAAACATTGTAGAAGCAGATGAAAACTGATTCTGGGCGATAATGTAGAAACGAATATATTAAAAAGATAAAACAAGAGGATTTTTAAATTTAAGCTCGATCGTGCCATTAAACGATTCTAATGGGAATATATTTATAACCAAGATTTTATGCTTTTTCAAAGCGCGCATATACGTTATTGTAAAACTAACAAATACCGATTGTCAGCTTGCACATATTTTGACGGTTCTTACGATACATACATCTACCTAATTGTAAAATCCCACTCTCACGAACATTTACGCAGCAGTTAAAGAAATAGAAAGAGAAGAGAGAGAGAGAGAGAAAGAGAGACGCATTCGAACTCGTCGTCGCACACCTTCCACTGGTATACTTCCTCGTTTCGTAGAAAGAATGAATTTAAGAGAGATGGAATGACGATTTAGTTTTCACATACGACGTGTAGCCGTTTAAAACGACTCGAATTCTTGCGAAGACATACGATTTAGAAGCGTGTTGAGATAAGTTAAACAGAACACTTTCCCTGATCCCAGCTTCTCCCCGACCCCAAAGTATCCTATTCTATAGATATCTAAATACATGTAGTTCTTAAATTATTTACTTTAGTTCGAGTGGAGATGCCTGTAAGTGTAATTTACTAAGACTTTTTGTAAATAAATTATGAAATAAACTAGACGTACTTTATCCAAGACGAAGATGCGATCTGACTTTGGCAAGATAAATGATAATGATGATGATAATAATAATAATAAAAAAGTGTAGGGCATTAGAGAGATATATATATAGCGTTTTTCTTTTTTTTTTGCATTCACCGTATAGACTTTTATTACGCCGAACTAAATATGTAAATACACTGATCTCTTCATCCTCTTTGTTCTTTGTTTCCTCCCTGCGGTGGCCTCATTAACTAACTCCAAATATTCTCATTTGGAACAAATGCTGTTCTCCATATTCAGGATCATTGCGTTGTTCATTTTGCGACACAGCCAATTCAGGATGTCCTCGGCCTCGCTCTCCACATACCAATCTACCATAGATGACGATGTCTCTTTCTCGTTCTAGGAATAAAATTCAATGTAACCATCTTTTAATGAATATCAATTGAGTAACACTAGAACGCTCGATAACGTTTTAACTCCTAATGTTGAGTTTAAAATTCGAATCTGTTTAACGTAGTAAACCAACTTGGGAATTTTTAGCGGAGTGCAATAATTTTCTGTATATAGATACTGTGTCAAATCAATTTTCGAGATAGATCGGAACAGTTACCTCTATATGCAAAACAAGTTTATTCTTAGCGATGGTTGGTGGTGACAGCAATTGATTAGTTTCCAAAGTCCATTTCACGTTCCATGATCCCCATGCATTTCCTTTCTCGATATAGTATATCCGTCTAAAAAAAGAATCCAAGGATTTATTTCGTTTTACGTTCTGATTCAGAGGAAATTAACACGGCAATAATTTTACTCTTAAGATTTTTTTGCCACTGATATTAAGGACATGATATTAAATATTGTTAAACTTACTGCAAAGATACGAGCGTAATGTATTTTCCGTCACTGTGAAGCGTGGCGTGTCCCCAATAAGAATCGTTCTGAACGCAGTGACCTTTACTTATAGCGTTTAATAAGTACGCTCCTTTCGCTTTATGCGTCGAAAATGACTCCACGCCCTAAATCAAGATATTAATTGTTAAGTGAATAATACAAAAAACATGAATGGAAAGTCACAGGTTATCGTCTCGACACTCACGAAATGTGGATTAATATATCGCGGCAATCGCATTCTGGATACGAGGCCCACCTCTTGCGCCCTATAAGATGAACAATTGTCTTTAAAGCAAATGCTGTTAATGCACGAGAGAAAATGGTGCCGATAGTGCTGATACCTTTTTATTATATCCGCTATTACTTTCGAATAAGTTTTCAAACAAGAACTTTCCGCCTTGAAGAGCACAGATGTTTTCTTTCCCAATGTTTTGAAGAAATATCTTAATTCTTCTCGATGAATGCCTATCATTTGCAAGAGATTTAATAAAAACGTCGAGCCGGAAATGAAACAGCAATGAGCGAATCAACAGATGTGCGCAGCACGATATGTGATCCCACTTACATCCACTCGTACATTACGACCAGCAATGATCTACTCACTATTCGTCGACGTAGTGATCAAGCCAGAAGTCTCCAAATCAATTTCGGTAGCGAATGGATGATCGACTAAAAACGCCAAAGGCGGAACATCTGGATTTCGATAATTCGTATCTTTCATCTAAAACGAAATGTAACGACTGTTTCAACTTCTTATTTTAACAGTTTAATTAATTACTATATAAAAAGGAACTTATGAATGTTTTCAGCTGCAAATACTAAGAGTCAAACCGAAGTTTTCTTTTATAATGATGATTCAATTTTTATTGGATTTATGGAATCAAAGATTTAATCATCAGATAATTAATGTCAAAGATTAAAAGCTGATACAGATGAGCTATTCAAGTTTCTTGTAAAAGGAAACGGCTAATTTTTAGTTCCACCACACAGTTTTATAGCGTTTACCTTGTAATGAAGCGTGTGAGCGTCATGGCCGCTTAAAAATGAGGCTTGTATACCATCGGGCGTAGCATATCCTAGCTCGCATGCGACCTCGTGTGCCAGCTTCTCCGCAGACTCGTCCCCACACATTAATAGCTATAAATTCATTTCAAATTAGCGTTGTTTTCAATA